GAGTCTGATTTTCGTAGAGTTCATGATAATTACTTTCATTTTTGTATATAACGACGTTGTGATCGGTACAAGCTTTCACTAAATTTACAGTCCATTTTGGCTTATTATATGATCACCGCGAGAAGATACACAGAGAAATTTCACTTTCACGCTCTATTCATCATTCATATATACTTTATGTTTAAATTTGTATCGACAAAATAGAATTATTTTTCCGATAATTATTAGTTTACTGTACATTAGACGTAATTATTTATTGATTTATCTTTCATCACTTTATCTCGATGAGATAGTAGTCGATGAGAAGTTTTTGTTGAAAAAATCACAAAAAAAATAAAATTAAAGTAAATCTATTTTGAGTATAAACCACAAATAATTTTTAAACCTTAAATATATGCACTGTTTGTAAATTGTAAATTTTTTAGAATGAAAGACAAAAAGTTCGTTAAATTAATATTTTACATATCTGCTGTATATCTCTAAGCTTAGATAAATACTGTGATATAATATTTAGAATAGAGTCATTGCTAAATTTTAAAATATAATACCAAACTGCCGTTGTCTTTCATCTTACAAGTATAATAAAGGTGTTTCAATTGATTCTAATTGATTATAGAAATATAACACAGTAATATATTCATAAATGTTGAAGCGTTTGGTAGAGCTAATAGGTATTATTCAATGCAAATATTATTTTCAAATTAGTAATATATTTTAAAAAAAATAATTTTTCTAATTACTCACCTTATATGTTTTTACATATCTTCTAAAATTCTAAAATTATGTTTAGATTTATCAAAATGCTGAAATTGTATTTTTATTAACTATTTATTCATATATCATATTGGTTCTTATAATATAGTAAAAGTATCTTTTCTTTTCGTCATTTTTTCCTTCTGCTACATTAAAATTAAATCGAATAAATTTATATTAATATTAAACGTTTCTTCCATTCCTTGAAAATTGCGTTAATCAACTATTCTATCAAGTTTATTATATTATAAAATAGATCCAATTAGAATATATGAATGTACACCATTAACTAACACATTTGATAAATTAGAATTTTACCTATAAATAAATAATTAAATCAATAAAATGATGAATTACCTGATGTGGAAACAATCTTTTTATAAGTATAGTAATACTTTTATGATTACGAGTAGTATGCGTGCTTAATTTTTATTATGAATAACTTATTCCGATCTTGTGCTCCCAGATATCGGGTAAAATATAATCAAATATTCGGAAAAAGAAAATCAGAAATTCGAAAAAATAAAATCAGATAAAGAGATCGGTATCTTATTGGAATAAACTTGCATTTCTGTACATTTTATATATTTTATTTTCATATTGTATACATTTTAAATATGTGAATTTCATAATTGGAGTCGTTAAAAAACATTATTTATTTAATACACCATTGTACATTTTTTACATGCTCTTTCAAATAACATAATAATACATTTTTAGTTAACAAGTGTAATACTATAAAATCATAATATTAGATAAATTAACTTCAATTCTTTAAGTTTATGATCTGTAAGTAGAAATGTAACTTTGCAAAATTACTTAATTCACATAAATATATGAGGAGAATAATGTATTTTACTTTCTCTTATAATAAAAATGTTTGTTTTAACGAATTGAATTAATTATTTTTTTGTATTTACAATCGATTAATCCGTGTCAGATGCACGCCTGCAAAAGGTGATGAAAGAACATGAGCAGTTAGTTTACACTAGAATAGTTATCGAATATATGAGAAATATTAAAATCTGTTCGCTTTAATGCCTGTAAACGTGTGCAATTATTTCCAGCAGCAATTCACAGGTGAATAATACTTACACTATAAATCTCTTTACATGTCATACAATATTAGCAGACAGATACTTTGTATTTTTATACTTAAACTCCCCCCCCCCCCCCCCCCCCCCCCCCCGCCCCGCCCCAATTTGCGCCGCACGCATGTATTCACATTATTGTATAATTGGATGGATCAGAGAGAAAAATGACAATCTTGTGAATTCTCATGCGTACGAAAAATTATGGGTATAGGAAAAGATATTTGAATTTACGATGCGAATACAGGTAAGTGTCGGTACTTTGCGTACTTTCACGTAGAAATTTTCTCGAGACGTGCGTGTGTACGCGAGGCTGATAAGCACGCAGCCGGGGTTTCACCTCCTTGTGACTGGTGTTCTAACGGGAGATGCCGATGAGGCGATAGCGTTCATTGATATAATTAATTGTAAAGGCACTGGTGTGCGACTATGTCCTGTTTGTTTACCATAATATCCAACGCTATCCTGTCTAATCTTGAAGGTCTTTTATGTTTTTGTTGCCGTTGTATGTTACCTGGGAACTGGGAGAAAGACTGTTTCAAGTTTCTTTTTCCTCCCGTGGCTGAGTGTATGGATCTGGCAATTAAGGGGCGTAATGGATATTAAAGAGTTAAATCTACGTAGACGTTGAATTAAAGAATTGAAGAAGATTTCTTTCAAAATCTTAATAAAACCATATTAAAATAGATATTATAGCCATTGGATGTTCCAATTTCATTAATATTTATATAATTTTTATTGACTAATACGTTAGCAAGTATTATAAAATAATAAAATTCCTTAGAATATGAAAAAATTTTAAAACGTATATATATACACGTTTGTGCGCATGCGTATGTGTGTGCGCGTATGCGTGCTTGCGTGCGCGCGTGTGTGCGTATGCGTACGTGTGCGCGTGTGTGTATGTTTCATTAGGCTACGCTATATTACGCATTAATATATGGTAATTTAGTATATTTAAAATTACTAAAATTAATTATAATATATTATATAATTATTGCTTATTCATGTTGTAAGAAATGTAGGATCTTTATATTTTCTAAATTCATTTAACAACTTAGAGTGAGCTTTGTTTAAAAGTAATAGTCTTTAAATCTAAATATGACTAACTATTTATAATTATATTCTTAATTCAAATAGATTTTTGTTTTCTAAATTTAAAAATAATATTAAATCGTCAGCTATTCCTTCAATGAATGTACATGATAGAATTAAAAAAATTTTCTTATATTTGAATAGACAATGCACGAAAACATTATTAATAAAATGATAAATATGAAAAAACGTATTTTATATTTCTTTTTATGCTTATATTTTACCAAAAATTCGGCATTAAATATTATAAAAAATAAGTTGATTTTTGCAAATATGTCTGTATGTCCTCTTATATATAATATTTTTTAAAAATATAATCATTTTTTATATTTCTATATTTTCCAACAAATTAGTAATATTAGCTGCAATTTTTAATTCCATGCGAAAATAATTCAGACAATATCAAAATTAATCGTAGCTCGTTGTTTGAAAATTCATAATCATTCTTAGGTTTTTTCATTGTAAATTTAATTGCAATAAAAGATACTTATTCCTTTAATTCTAGTTAATGCTTACAAGAATTAAAAATTTTACATATCTATTTTTCTTTTACATATTATCTTAATTGTATATCAAATAGATTTTCCAATTAGCGTAAATTAATTTTTGAAACAAAAATCATGTACTCTGTATTTTAAATTACATGTTGGAAAAAATAATATAGTTTCAGTCAGTTTGCCAGGGAAGTATAAAGAACATTTTAATTTTATAAAGCAAAAATTATCAGTAATTGAATTAATAGTATTTATAAAATAATATTCATTCTCAATATTAATATAATATTGAAAATACTTTATTCTATATTATTATATCTTTATTTGTGTAAAAAGTTGATTTTAAATTAAGGTAGTAGAATATTTTGCCTTTAAACCTTAACTCAAAACACTAAATTACTTTTTACACGCTTAATATGTGGCAATTTCATGAATAAATATAATTATCTATTTATATTATACAGTTTTTGATATTTATGAATACTATATTATTTAAAACTAAATATTAATCTTTAAATTTACACAACAATCATTTACTTCAATGCGAATGATTATTAAAGAACTAGTGCAATAAAATTTTTTGTCCTCGAATATAAAAGACTTACGAACCTAAGAAGAAAGATAAATAAGTGACATCATTTAAAAATTAAAATATAAGGTTTGCCGTTGATTATGTAGTTTCTCAAAAAATGTAAATTGTTATAAAATACACGTTAAACATACACGTGTAAGTGAATTTGCAAGTTAAATTTCTATTTAAATAACAACTTACATAAGATAGTTACATAGAGAAAAAGTTAATATTATCGGAAGGTTTATAATATAAAAATTGTGCACCCTTCTCTTAATATATCAATGTAATTGACATATTTGTGGTAAAATGCAAGTCCATTGTATGATAATGACCTTTGTAATTGTTGTTATTAAGTAGACATTCAATTAAGGACCATAAGTGAATTACATAAAAAAAAAAAAATGAGAGATAAAAATAAAGCCTTCACAAAGAATTCTATGATAAGCATTTTAACAAATTGAAAAAGTGCGCGAGACGTGAGGTAGATGGTGGATGGATATAAGGCGAGGGAAGAAGGAAGAGAGAAAGAGAGAGAGAGAGAGATAGAGAGAGTGTGTGTGTGTGTGTGTGTGTGTGTGCGTGTGCGTGTGGGTGCGTTAAATCCGGCATAATAATCAGGAATAATGTAAAATGTCAAAAAGAGTGGATGGATAGGGTAAAGCGCCCCGTCCCGCATTCAACGCAAGATTATTCAAGCCGCGGAAGAGAAGGAGTGGAAATTCCGACGTGACGCCCCATGAATGCTCCCGTTGGGCTAACGATGCGACTAGTTATCTCCGCGGGACTTGGTGAGCTCTCGATGCAGCTCGATGAAAATCAGGCAGGCTCGGCTGTGCTGAGCGAGTACGAGTGTCAGGAGGAAAGTCGAGTATGTGCGCAGTAGGCGAGTCGAGCGGTCGACTCTCCTGGCGCAGCCAAAAGAGAGCGGATAGTCCAGCCGGACGGCCGTTTCTCGAACGGACGTAGACTCGAGTCCCCTTCCTCTCGAGCGGAGCTCGACTCCGTGACGAGGGCTCATCATCGGCCGCGAGGCCCCAAAAGCGCGGCGACCGTCCCCTTATCCCGGAGCGGGGCCGGTTCCGCGTATGCGCCGAGGCTCAGTCCTCTCCCGCGGAAGAGGACGGGACGCGACTCCCCGGCGGGCGGCACATTGTCATTCGCCGAGGCTCCGTTGCTCTGGCGCGCGCTCCCCCCACCCCCTTTTTTGTTTTCCTCGGTAGCAGCGCTCGGTAGCCGAGTCACGGCGAGACTGTCCGCAGACGCACCAGCGGCACCGACTAGATAATACTCCGGGACGAGAGGCCGAGAGATCAGCGCGCCCACGTTAAAATACGTCGAACGTCGAACGAACGCCGAACGCCCATCCTTACTTTTACGGGAGGCTAAGAAGCCATGAGAGCCGATATGATGACGACACGAGCACTTGCCCCGTTGATCCTCATCCTCCTCGTAGCCGTCCGAGGTAAGCCGCCTGCTTTATTCCTCCGAGTTCTTTGTTTCACTTTTCCTCTTCAACGGCTATCGTATACTTTACTCTCGATCATCATCTTCTTTCGACTTCTTTTGATCCCGGCGTAATGACATGCTGCACTCCCGGCGAAGCGACGATCGTTTCTAACTTGCCCGTACCTTACTGGCAATTCCATTTGTAAAAGCAACTGGGCGCACCTCGAACTTTCGATTGATTCGTCCTATAGCAGATTCCCATCCATCTAAGCTTACCCCGGCTTACTTGGAGACTGGGACAGACTGGTCCAGAAGTTAAGATCAGTAACCGAGGTCAGAAATAAAAATGCGACATTATAGTCGTCAGCGCGATTTCATTGTATTATCAGCATAACAATCAGTAATATTCTTACTTGACATTGCTTAATTTATTAATATTATCGCTGATTTCCGGAAGCGATATGGTTTTTTTGTTCTGGTACTTGTTGCGCTCAGAGCCAGCGATTTCGACAGTTTGATAATACTCAATCGATATAATTATAACGATAATAATGATAAAAATCATTACGTAGCATAGAAAAATCGATGTTGTTATAAATACTTTTGCTTTCTATTCGCACTTCCGATAATTGGATTCAGCTATTTTATACTTCTTTCGCGGCTACGTAGGAATTATCAACGATTACGTTAACGTTTCTCATTGTTCTTCTTACGGGATATCGAGATTCGATAACTGTACTGATAATTACTCTACTTTAATATTTAGTATATAAATTTCTTATTTTCACAATCTCGACAATGATTAAACCTACGACTAACGAAGACGAATATGGAGAAAAGATTGAATTCTTAAGAGATCAGCTACAACGGAATATTCGTCGAAACGCTTGTACATTTTGTAAAATGAAATTCCATAACGCATGTGCCACTAAATATGAGTATTTAAAATTGGCTAAATTTAAACCTTATTTATTTATTCGATGAAGAGAGCTTCGTCCCATAAAGCTAAGCTTTTCAACCACAAGCATTTTGAATTCGAATAGCAACAAGCCTCCATTCTATATCATCGACTGACTTAATCGACTCACTCACTTATAACCGACGTCATTCACTATACTGGATGATCATAAAATTAAAACGTTTGTCCGAACAATTCATAGAAACATGATCAAGTCGATAACCGCGAGGAAAGAGATCGCTTAGACTCAATTGTTTTGAGCCTATAGCAGCCAGTTGCCTCCGTTAACAAAGTATCTCACGAAGGAAAGGTACCACCGAGCGAGGATAAAATTTTACAGGAAGCAGAGAGGCTGAAATTTTGGGCGACAATGTCTAATAGACTATAATTTGACAAGAATAACGAAAAAGTCGATAGAAACAAACAAACAAACAAAAAACAAAACAAAAAACAAAACAAAAAAGAACAGCTACCGCGTAGATCAAATGGGAAAAGGAGGGGCGAGATGCTGGGGAATCGCGCGGGTCATAATCAGCGTGTGAGATTGGCGAGGTGAGCGCGCTCACGTCAAGTTTCACACATCCGACGGAGAGAACTTTCTCTCCCTGCACGACGAGTGAAAATATGAAAGTGACTCGCATCGCCCGAAAACATGCGCGATCACGCCTTTACTTGCTCCGTCTATCGGGTCCTTGGAGTTACTCTAGTCTGCTACCATTCTGGGGGCCTCGCTGGCTCCATGGCTTCTATTTTTTGCCCGGCGCGTACAGAGCGACGCCGATAATGCATGCGCCAGAGATCCTTCGAGATGGACCAACCAGGCGTTGCTTTCTAAACGAGTGAAAACGTGCGCGAGTGCTCGATTATCGGGGGACTCTCGGTCGGGCTCGTCGCTACTCCCAGCACACACTTGGCCAACATCGGTTCATTTGCAAAGTGTGGAATTTAATTCGACGCTACCTCCGTCCTTTGCACCCAACCCACGAGCACCTTCGCATCGAGCAACACCCCACTCTCTCGCACGCTCTATGTATTTATCTTTTTCCTTCTTCGTCTGCTACGCAGAGCCAAGAGTAATGGTATTTTTGGCTTAAGCACGCTAGCTTTCACTTTTACTAGAGCAAAGGAACATTATCGATCCGAGAAATTTAAATGAAGTTTAATGATTTTTACTATTAATATCGGATAATTGATGCTAATACAGTACTATTAAGAGAAATTGCGAATTAAATTATCCGAGGTCAAGAAATTCGCGTAGTGTGCCGTTTGATTGCTTTATCATTACAAGAAAAAAAAAATTAGTAATGGAATTACGAAAAGATGTACATCTAATAAAACATATCTTATCACTGTAGTTGATATTAAATTATTATAATGTTATTGCAAAATAGATTATATATGGATAACGAATATATATTAGCCAAATGAAATCCTTGTCATTGAAAAAATTTATTTCGGAATACAAAAAAAACTGCCCTTTTTCTGTTTGAGAAACGTTATTGCATGCAATTTATTATAATCATATTTACATACGCTTGTGACGAATATATTCAGCTTATTATTGAAATTGACGATAGGCGTTTGAATGAAAAATTTATTATTACGTGTACAATAGATGGTTAATAGTTTTTTAATAATTTCTATAGAACCAATTCGTTTATCGTTTAGTGATGAAAAGGAATAACGCTGATTTCATAATATCCATGCACATAAAATGCAAATGAAAATGAAATTAATTTCTCATTTTTCTTAAAATTGAATCGTAATTGACTTCGATAAAATTATCTTAATAATATTTTAGTAAAATTTTATTATCGATAAATATTTCATTTTCGAACAATACGTGTTTCAAGAAATTCAAATTGTCGCATAATTATGTGGAAATTGTCCCATTCTCTCTGAAAATAATTCCCCGTTCAATTAGAAAATATGATATATTTTATAATTAATCGATTGCTTATTATATTTATACTTTTCATATAATTTCACATTATTATTGCAAGCTCAAATTAATTGCACAAACGATCTTTCCTGCACTTGCTCGACGCAGTCGATCATACAATTAAGCCTATGATTAAAGCGAATCAAATAATGTGCATGTTTTCATGTATCTGAAATAATTATTTTAAAGTTATGGGAAATAAAAATAGATTATCATATCGACTGGAAGGTAATCGAACGTTTGTCACGCAGTCAAACGACAGCAAACGAAGTTATGGATTATAAAACGAAATACAGTTGATTACATTCGTTTCTTAATGATGCAAAGTCATCATTACCGATTATTAGGGACGTACACATAATAACGTTGAGCAAGCGACTCACGAGTACATAGAGAAGCTTATAAATGTCGTTGCACCATGTTAACGAATTTTCAAAACTAATTTCACTCTACGCCGCTTATGGATCACGCACCCAAAAGGCATTTCTAAACAATTCTCGCATAATGATTTCATGGCCTCTAGCCATGTACCAGTAAAGAAGCAAACGCAATTTTGAAAAGTTGCGCACACTCGCACATCTTTCGAATGTACCAAATTATACAATTACATATTACATTGCAATTCCAATAAAGTGTAATTAAGTGACGAAGTAACGGCATTTCTGTTTGATATATATAGTGTAAATTGCGCGAAATCGATTATATTTTAACAGTGAGTATCTCTATAAACAGTCGCTCGATTGTGTCCCTAATGCGCGAATTTGCTCTTTGTCAGTACTAAAATGCAAAGAAGCACAGGACAAAGCTCGCAAGCACCTTGGTTATTGCTAGAGTTTATTGCATTAGGTGCGCCCGTAGATAGATAGAGAGAGAGAGAGAGAGAGAGAGAGAGAGAGAGAGAGAGAGAGAGAGAGGGAGAAAGGGTTTGGAGAAAACCAAGCGCGCAAATAATGGAAATAATCCATAATGACGGTTGACGGTCAAGAGGGCGAGGGTATTGGAGGAGTGGATAATAACGGTGCAATTGGGGTGGGGGGGGGGGAGTCCGAATTTTCGCGCACTCCGAAAATTACGGGCTCTACAAGGAGCGACGTAAAGCTCCGCTAATGGCTTGGTGCGCGGCTCTTTACGATCGTAAAAGAAGGGAAAGTAAGTATCGCCGTCGACTTACGTAACTTCCAAGCCAGAGGGGCGAGAAAGGCCGCCCCTCCCCCCACCCGCCGCTCACCTTCGGGCGGGATAACGGCAAAGTCTCGTGGATGCGCCTCGTCGTTGCGGCTGCTCTCGTTTTCTTCCGCTTCGCGGATACAAAGACTTTCATTGCGGCGACTCCCTTCCGTATTGGCTAATTAGTTCGGCGACTTTTTCGGCGTGGAGTCAAAGGACGGATGCACGCTATTGTCGGGAAGTCATCAACGGGTACATTAACCTTGCTTTTTGCGCCCGCTCCGTGTGGATTTTGAGGATCGGGAGGGGGGGGGGCATGATTTGCTAAAAATTTTTGTGAAAGATGAATAGGAGCCGAAGCTCGGAAGCGCCGAATGAGTCGGGCGAGGTGGAAAGGAATTCCGCATCGCCCTCGATTTTATAGGCGGACAATGGCAAAAGCAACATTGACAGGGAAATTTCTATTATTATTTTAATAAGCAGCCCGATATTATCGAACGTTCTTCGATTCTTGTTACAATATAATGTAAGAATGGCCATTGTCCATCGTTTAAAAATGTACTGTTCAGCTATGCTTTATTTAAGACGACGAGAATGAGTGGATAATTTTTATAAGCGTCGATCGACCGCGGCTTTTTAATCCTAATGTAATGATTTCGACGACGATATCTCAATCGGGATCCTTTGCGATGTGCCAGTAAGATAAATGCTTCTTACTCGTCAAATAGTATTGGAATTTAATAATACTATTAAAAAAAACATCTTTTACAGGTATGTCCATTTAATTAAAATTGAGCGCGACGCGTAAAAATTGATGAGATGAAGAAGCTCGACGGGAAAGATTCTTTGATAATTATTTCCCGATGCCCGACGTACGTCAAAGATAAAATTTAGATTTAAACATTGCATGCAGCTTATGAAATTTGAATCATCCGTAAATAAGAGTACT